GGGTGTCAACTCGGCACGCATGTGCGTGACTCCCCCGCGCTCCCCCCACTTTTGGCACGCAATGGCAAAAAGGTTAGCCATCACTGGGTAGAATGTGGGAAAGAGCTACCAGAAAGTGGTTCAATTTTATAAGAGAGGACTGCAATGAAGGAAATGGTAAATGCTAATCTATTTTTTCTAAAAAAAAAAAACCAACCTCCCCCCAAACTTGTGTTTTATGGAACACTTGCAAATACAGGTAGACTTTGACCTACAACATATATACAACTGTAAACCATTATATGTGGAAAAGGTCATAAAAAGGGTCAGTCATGTGACTGACTTTACAACATTTTTGGCAGTTGTTAAACCAACTCTATGGGCTCAGTTTTGCCAAAGACTAGAGCAGAGGTGTCAAACTTCTGGCCCACAGGCCGGATGCGTCACATGCTGGCTATGCCCACCCCTGGTTTAGCAAAGGGGGGAAAGTCATGATATGTCACATGATGATGATGTGACGATGTGAGTTTGACACCCCTCACCCCTGGTAAGTGCCAGTTCAGGGGTGGGTTCTACTTACCTTTACTACCAGTTCACAACGGGAGCTTTTGCGCATGCGCAGATTGTCCATTATGACGTCCGAGTGGGTGGGCGGAGCTTCCTGCTGCTTTTACTACCGGTTCACAAGAACCAGACCGAACCAGGAGCAACCCACCACTCTGCCAATTATCTGCAAAATTGTTGTAGAATGACTGCAGGATGCTGCAAATTACTATAAAGACAGCCGTGTTGCCACGTGCCTGAAATTTGGTCATGTGACTACAGAGGGACCCTGATTGCTGTAATTTCAAATCCTGGTTGTAAGTCCCTTTTTCAGGTCAGTTGTAACATCAAACCAGGGATGAAATGCTCCCAGTTTGGATGGTAGCGATCGTGGCAGGTGATTTGGAGAACCGGTAGCGATCGTGGTGCGAGGCTCCGCCCACCCGCCCAGTTGTCGTTACTTCCTGGTTTTAACCAGGAAGTAATGTGTTTTGTACCCTCTGTGCATGTGCAGAAGGTTTTGCTTTTTGGCTTTTAAAAGTAAAAAAAAGGCTCTGACGATCACAGCTGAGCTGCGCGATCGTCAGGACCTTTTTTTTAACCTTTTAAAAGCATTTTTTTAAGAACCTATTCGGCTGAATAGGTTGTAAAAAATGCTTTTAAAAGTAAAAAAAAGGCTCTGACAATCACAGCTGTGCCTCGCGATCATCAGAGCCTCTTTTTTTTTTACCTTTTAAAAACATTTTTTTCACAACCTATTTGGGCGAATAAATTGTAAAAAAATGCTTTTAAAAGTAAAAAAAAAGATTGCGCGCCATAGCTGATCACCCCCCACCACACACACTGTTCTACTTACCCCATGCCTCTTTTTGGCATGCATTGCATGCGCACCTCACATCTGGTGCGTGGTGTGCACTGTGCATATGTGCGCGCTGCACGTTTGGTACGCAGCGCGCATGCGCAGCCAGCAAACTGGTAGTAAACCGGTTCAGATTTCACCACTGCATCAAACAGCCACTAAGCGACCAATCATAAGTCAAGGACTACCTGTACCATTTTAAATCCAGGTGACCTCATTTCTGAATATCTTCACTGTTGGAGTTCTATGGAACTCCAGTGTTCTACAGTGTTCTGTGGAACACTGCTGGAGTTCTGTAATAATACAACGAACTAAAGATACTCTACATTCTTGTAAAGATTTTTCCTCCATCTCAACAGGATCCTACACCCCAAAAGAAATGTTCTAAAATATGTACTTGCTAGTTGATGTTGCAGAACCACAGATGGTTACATTAGAAATTACAAAGATGTAAATCCTGCATTTCCCCATTATAGCCCTAGTGCTGTATTTTTAATTTCAAAGACATGAAATATAATACAGCTAGAAATCCTCTAATATGAGGTATGAGGCATTTGAAATGTTCGTGTTAATGCATTCATTTCAGAGAGCTTACATTACAGGATTTCCAGCTGAATCAAACTCCGCATGCCAGCCAATGTGTGCCATTGTTTATACATGCTTCAAATTTCCACTTATTAACCACATGATTATTTATCACACATACACTGCAGTGGTAGCGTTTGAATAATTCTTCTCATCGGATGAGGAAGAGACTGTTGGAAACTTTTGCTAAAAGCATAATTTCATTTTCACCAGTCTGCTTCCTTCTCCAATGGTCAGTCCCAGTGAGTATTGACAGGACAGGAGGGATCGCGCCCACTTGCCAGACGCTTCAGAGAGTCATGCTTTCACTCCTCTTGCTTAACATTTGCATTAAACATCTGCTGGGTGACAACATCTGTCAACTCACCATTTGGTTTCAGCAATAGCAATAGCACTTAAGACTTATATACCGCTTCACAGTGCTTTACAGCCCTCTCTAAACAGTTTGCGGAGTGGGCATATTGCCCCCCAACAATCCGGGTCCTCATTTCACTGACCTCAGAAGTCTGGAAGGCTGAGTCAACCTCAATCTGGTCAGGATCCTGGAGTGAGCAGTGAGTTAGCCCTGCAGTACTGCATTCTAACCACTGTGCCACCACAGCTCATATGCAGATCGTGTGCATTTGTGCATCTTGACTTTGGACTGCTCAGGTGAAGTTATGACTGTCTCCATGTCTGGAGAGGGAGGACCAAACTTCAGCTCAATCCCAACAAGACTGAACAAATGCGACTGTGGATCAGATCTTAGATGATGTTGTTGCGCCCCTATTTGAGACAAGAGCACAACTTAAGAGTCCACTTGGGCTCACAGCTAGTGCTCAGAGATACAGATGGAAGCTATGGCCAGGATGATCTTTCTGCAAATTCACTTTGTGCACCAGTGCTCTTTCTTCAACTGGGAGCTCTTCAGACAGTCACTCATGCCTTAGTTACCTCTAAGTTGGACTTTTGCAATGTGTTGTACATGGGGCTGCCCTTGGAAACCTTCCTGAAGTAACAGCTGATGCACAATGCAACAGCAAGGGCAGAAACAGTCACTTCTCATTATGTATGTTGCATTGGTGGCATACATTTCAAACACAATTTAAGCTGCTGGTTGTAACCTACAAAGCAGGGGTGAAAACCAGCAGGTTCTGACAGGTTCTGGAGAACCGGTAGCGGACATTTTGAGCAGTTCGGAGAACCAGTAGCGGAAATTTTGATCAGTTCAGATAACTGGTAGTGGAAATTTTGAGTAGTTTGGAAAACAGGCAAATACTACCTCTGGCTGGCCCCAGAGTGGGGTGGGAATGGAGATTTTGCAGTATCCGCCCCCTCAGGAATGGGGTGGGAATGGAGATTTTGCAGTATCCTTCCCCTGCCACACCCACCAAGCCATGCCCACCAAGCCACACCACACCCACCAAGCCACACCCACAGAACCAATAGTAAAAAAAATTGGATTTCACCACTGCTACAAAGCCTTTTATGGAATAGGTCACTTGAGGGATTGCAAGTTATTTTTGCTCATCCAATAGATTCAGACACAGTAGGTGTAGTCAAATATTGCCATTTTGTGAGCCCAAGAGCTTTCTCTGTTGTGGCCCTTGTTTTCTGGAAGAATGTCACCTCACCAGTATATGTGGCTCCCAGTTTGCAGGTGTTCATGAAGTCCGTTAAAGGAACAATCTTTGTTCCCAAGTCTGGATTTAGGCATCTTTAGAATCTCTGACATGGCTTTTTTGATTATTAGGAATTTTGTTTTAGTTATGTTTAAACTTACACTCTGTATTGGACATAATGTTACCCAGAGTCTTTTTGGAGTCAGCTATTATAATCATGGGTTGGTTTCACAGTCAGCCAAATGTTTAGACTGGATTTGGCATTTTTGTCCGTTGTTGAATCCTTCCCAAGGACCTAGAGTAGGCAGATATTGTTTGATAGGGTTAAAGGTATTATCACAGGATGTAAGCTGTTCCAACTAAAGTTGCCTTTTGCAATTGACTAGAGGTGATTTTGACAATGCCAATGGTGTTCAAGAGGCACTTCAGAGGTTTTCGGATTGCACCCAAGGTGCCTATTACTATTGGTACTAGCTTTGCTTTTTATTATTATTATGGTTTGTAGGTCAGCCTACAGACTGGAATTGGCATTTTTTATATCCATCGATTAAATCCCTCCCAAGAAGCTGCAATAGGCAGATGCCTTTATTTGAGGGTGTTAAAGGTATTGTTGCAAGATGTAAACTGTTCCAAGTAAAGCTGCATTATTAATGCTATTATTAAGAGCCGTGGTGGCACAGTGCATACTGCAGGCTACTTCTGCTAACTTCCAGCTGCCTGCACTTTGGCAGTTTGAATCCCACCAGGCTCAAGGTTGACTCAGCCTTCCATCCTTCCAAAGTGGGTAAAATGAGGATCCAGATTGTTGGGGGCCATATGCTGACTCTGTAAACCACTTACAGAGGGCTGTAAAGCACTGTGAAGTGGTATATAAGTCTACGTGCTGAAGGCAATGAATATTAAGTTGCTCTTTTATAAAAGTGTTAAATGTATTAAAAAGCTATGATGTTCTTACTGTTGCAAACTGACCACAAATTGTAATCAGTAGAGACAATGTGTAATGACTTGCTAAAAGCTCCCTTGGAGACAGGAACCTGCGCCTTGGGCAAGACTACTATCAGTAAGAAAGGAACATCCGCTCAAAGTGAAAATTAAAAGTAGACATGATAAGATAGTTGTTGTTAGGCAGGAAATGTAAAGATGACCCTTTAAAGTGTAAAACAACTTGGAGAATGACTTAGGAGAATAAAGAGGAGTTGGGAGGGCTTCTTAGGCATGGCGTGCATTGTGTAGGAGTATAAAATGTGTAGCTTGAAAACTGTATTTTGCGCTCTTTGAACTTAATCCAATTGGGAAGGGTCTAAGACAGGGCTGGGCAATTATGGCCCTTTTATGAACTGTGGACTTCAATTCCCAGAATTCCTGAGCCAGCATGCTGGCTCAGGAATTCTGGGAGTTGAAGTCCATAGGTCATAAAGGGGCCATAGTTGCCCAGCCTTGGTCTAAGAGGCTGCGCTTGTAACCACTTTTTATTTTTCTTCACGATATCTCCGATAAACAGAGGTGGGTTTCAGCAGGTTCTGAGCAGTTCTGGAGAAACAGTAGTGGAAATTTTGAGTAGTTCGAAGAACTGGTAGTAAAAATTCTGACTGGCCCCGCCCCTATCTATTCTCTGCCTCCCAAGTCCCAGCTGATCGGGAGGAAATGGGGATTTTGCAGTATCCTTCCCCTGGAGTGGGGTGGGAATGGAGATTTTACAGTATCTTTCCCCTGCCACGCCCACCAAGCCATGCCACGCCCACCAAGCCACATCAACAGAACCGGTAGTAAAAATTGTTGAAACCCACCACTGCCGATAAACCTTTGATTTTGTGAACCAGACTTGTTTTTGAATTGTGAGTATACAATTGGGGTTTTTATATCTCACAGTGCTATTGCTATTGCTAATGACTATAAAAATTATATAACTAAAATAGAAAGTTTACCATTGCTACATATATTAGTCAGCATGGATGTTTCTTAGGTTTTACTTGTTTGTTTCCAGTGCAATGTTTGTTAATTGGTTTATTTTAATTTTTTGACATAAGGCGTGAAAAATGTTCTCTTTATTAGGTGATGGTACAACTAAACTAAACAGTAGCAACAGCCATGGTGTTATAACAGCACTTTTAAAAAAAGCATTTTAAAACAATACTGAGAATTGCATTGAAAACAGCTGGTAGTAATAGTCACCAAATGAATCAGATTGAGTGACCTATCCAATATTCCTATGGACAGCACAGTCACTGTATAGTGCTTAAAAGATGATAGTGAGGACTTCAACATGAGAAGCAAGCTCCAAAGTTGAGATACAACTGTCCATAATTATTCCTTTCTAACCTCTGCAATGAAGACATACAAGGAAGATCAGATATAGAAGGTGGCAAGATAAGAACCATGTACTAGGTGAGTGACTCCATCATTGTAAATGTCAAAGGGCTGTCATTGAGGGCCGCATCAGGATTGTGTTTGACCTGGGGGGGCAAGGGGGCCCCAGCTCGACATCACTCATGTTGGGGGGGGGCTGCCTGTGTGGCCCGAGCGCTCTGCCAGCAAAAATGGGCATCCTGTGTTAATCTCCCATTTTATCAAAGTGTAATGACAATCAGAGTTGTCATTCACTCAGTGGAAGGCAATTTGCTTTCCAGAAGTAAATATTAACACCACACCTACTAGAAAAACAGAAATTTCAGTAGCCTTTTGCATAATGGAGAAACGATGCTCTGTTTCCATTCTTCCAAAGAGAGAAGGCAGGCTGGCTGGCACAGCACGGCATCTAAAATGCTAGTTATGCTGTCTCTGATTTAATAGGTGTTTTATTCAAGCATACAGAAATTCGCCCAGACTGATTCTTCTTCTCTGAGTACAATGAAAAATATGAAGCCTTGTAGCTTTTTTTTAAAAAAAAAATAAGTGGATCTTTCTTTCTTCCCCCTGCTTTTATTTTTGTTCAGTTCATTGTAGTGTTTATTAAAATTGAAACAATCTGACATTACCTTGCCTTTGTTTTTCAAGGACTCATTTGCTGGAGTCTTGGGGAAGTGCCAAGCTGTACAAAACAGGTAGCAGTGAAATGTTTAGATAAATGGGAAAGAATGGTTATGTAAGCTTCTACTGAGTGAGGGGTCCAGAAAGAGAACCTGCAGACAATGAAGCACACATGGAAACTACATCTCAATATTTGGGAAAGCGTGATATACAACAGGTTACTGTGCTTCACTCTCCACATTAGCCCTGATCAATGGAATTCATATCTACCTACCTACCTACCTACCTACCTACCTACATTTTTACTTACCTACCTAGTTGCGCCTTTAAGTCAGTTGTCAGAACTGTCACCTCACACCTGCACTCTGCGAACATTCAGCACCGCTCTGCCATGAACCCTGAAGGGGGGGGCTGAAAGGGAGAGGGAAGACTTGAGGGGAAACTGAAAGCAATGTAAATAAGTGTGCCTCTCAGAGATGGCGCCTCAAGGTCGTTTCCCTGTGAGAAGAAGTCAGCCTACACTTGGAGTAACCGTTTCAAAAACATCTTCATTGAAATTGATTGGACAGTTGGTGGACCAGAAAGGGGAAGTGCTTGGAAAAAGTTACACCTAGAGATTTGGCATGAGAATTTCAGTTTTGGCTTTGCTTTATTGTAATCCACTTGACCTTTAGTAAACTATAATTTTCTCAACAAAGGAAGTCAAGGATCGTTCTTGCTTAAAGATTCAAGTTGAGGCAGGACAGACATCAGTGTTGGCTGGTAGCTGCTTGAATTAGTCAGTGCAGTTTCATTGACAAGATTTTATGAAGGAGCTTTCTCTTGCCTTCTTCCTAGGACTGAGAGTTAGTAATTTGATCAAGATGGCTTTATCATAAAGTAGAATTAGAATTTACACTCTCTTGGTTTCTAATCTATTGCCACTATATCAAACTGGCTCTCTATTTCGATATAAACAATACTGGATTGGCAAATGCTGTTCAGTAATAAGTTATTCTTTTTGGAAACAGTTGCTATGTTGAGGCGCCCCATAATCCTTGGCTAATTTGAAGTTAAAACAACCTCCCATTGTCAAGACTATATAGGAACCCCTAATCATCATTCCACTCATTTCTTAACACCTCCATATCAAACTGGTTTATTGCAGGGGTGAAATGTTCCCGGATTGGACCAGATCGCCTGATCTGGTAGCAATTTTTCCCTGTGGTTCAGCGATCCGGTAGCGATTGCCACCCGGATGTCATTACTTCCTGGTTTTAACCAGGAAGTAAGGTTTTTTTTTACCTTCTGCGCATGCACAGAAGGTTTTGCGCGTGCGCAGAAGGTGTGTGCGTGCGGGGCACATGCGCTTCCGAACCGGTAAGGATGGCAAGTACATTTTACCCCTGGTTTATTGATAACAAATTTCTATAAAAACGAATAGGTTTCTTTAGTTTTCAAGGATTTCACAAGTTGTTCTAGTGTCTTGAGCATCTCAGAAGCTGAAGATGCTACTAATCCAAACAACTCTAGATCCAACAATGTTGTGACTATAAATATTGCTAATGGGTTACATCTGGTAGATTATATTAGTCTCTTAACAAAGAGTGTGTTAAAAATTCATCTTCATCAAGACAAATAATTTTTAAAACAAAAACAAATAAATTAGCAGATCATGATGTCTTTTCCACCGCTGTAAAATAAATACCACTTGGAAAAGGATGTTTTTCTGGCTGGCCGATCTTCTCCCATAGGTTCAAAGATATTCTTTTTATTATTTTTAAATGAATCTGCCCCATCCAGAGACTGCCAATCTCAAATTGGAATCTGGGACATATTTTCTACCAACTTTTAAAACCTTACTCTCTCTTTCAAAAGCCAGATTAAAAGTGATGCATAGGAAGTTTATGAATGCCACAGTTGTGTACCTTTGCAAAAAGCCCTCACAATGAGCACACCCTGAGGAAATAATTTAGGGTTTGGCCCCTGCTACAGTTCTAAAATACATTCATTGGAAGGTGTACTGAGATGCGTTTTTCTTCTTTTCTGTTGGCAGGCAGATAGCTAATTTCTACAGTGGTATTATTTTATTAAAACATGCTGGGGGAAAGTGTGACATTTATTGTTAATAGAAGCCATCAGCTTGAATCCCCCTGAAATGTGCTAAAGAGTTATTCCACTGTGCACACCCAAACAACCCTGGTGTCAACATTCCTATCCTTGCATGAGAGCAACCCTAGATGTGATGCAGCAAACGCCCAAAGATCTCCTGCTAGCTGGTTTCCATCTTTTTCCTATATAAATGTGCTAAATAAATAGAAATGTGTTTTGCTTATGTAGTTGCTATGCAATTTGCCTAACAATGAATTTACTTCCTAGACTGTACCTGTGTTTGATGATTGAAAGGTTGCTCTTATTGTTCCTTTACACAATAGGCACAGTAACAAGAATAAATGAAGGTAAACCTACAGCTTTATTACCTTGATAAACATGCCTGACCCCGTGTTGGAAGACTTCTGATAGAAAGAATAGGAGAGATGGCATTGAGCATAATTTGGAAAGTTCAGGGCAGCTGTATGCTGGCAGAGTTATGCAGATCGCACTCTAGCTCCTCATCAAGTCACTAAGAAATGTATGAATGTGAGAAAGAACCTTTATTTTATGCTTGTTGATTTAGTGAAAGTGTATGCTAGTGTGGGAAGCCACCCACCCACCCACCAGAGAATGAAATATTTGGGGGGATATTAAAAGAGGCAAAATATTATATTTCCCCAAAGGAGAAATGGTGAAAAATCTTAACAAAGGCAGAAAGCAGCCCCAACATCCTCCAGCAGTCTTTAGAGATGGCTATTTTGTGCCCATTAAGAAAGACTGGGCCAATCTATTCACAAACAAATCCCAGTTGATGGGATTAAGAAGGACAGGACAGGACTTTTAGGACATAATAGGATTAACCCACCACCATTAGAATAGCAAAAGACACAAAGCTCATTGCACAACCCCCTGGAGCATTTCAAACACAAAACCCCAACGAATGTATAAAAGCCCACCTATCGCAACTCCATTTTGTCAGCTGCCCCAGAACTACATGCTATTGTTGGTTCTGCTCATCAACAAACAGAGTCCTTCTTTCCGATCAGCCTCCATTTTATTTCCTTTCTTCCGGCTTGGAACCGGACTGGATTTTTCTTCCTACACTACTGAATAGCCTTGATGTGAGGGTTCTTTTTCCCCCCTGCTGAAATATAGAGTTGGTTGCTGAATGTGAGAAAAGTGGAGAAGAAAGCATGAGTGAGAATAAATAAAATGCTTAATGAGTGGTTCAGGTTGAACAAAGTCAGACAACAAATGAAAATATCACCTTGCTGGCTTCCGGTCTGGCTTCTGTCACCGCCAGATGGTCCTCTGAGACCGCCAGCCCCGTTGCCTGTAAAGAGCCGCCTTTACATCTGAAAGGCAGCTCGAAAAACTCCATTTCCTGAAGGAAATGTGAGACAGAGCAGGTGAGGGCAGGTAGAGCCCTCTGCGAAGTCCCCAGAGTTCTTTTTTTACTCTTGGGGACGAGCAGGTTGTGGCTCCCTATTTCCGCTCGCCACTGCTCCGGGTTTCGGGAGAACTCTGCCTTTTTGCAGAGCCAGGCGCTGGGACCAGACCAATCAATGAAATTAACAGATGGTTTAATTAAAGAGGACGAGATTTGGACTTGGGACCCTAAATCGCAAGTACTTTTAATGATCTTATAAGCGTTTTTAAGTGAAGGAAAAAAAAGTTTAAAATGGCGACTGCTGAGGCTTGAGAAGAAGAAGAAAGACGAAAGCGAAAGTCCTTCCATAACAAGCTACAAAGTAGCAGAATAAACAGTGCTGGCTAGAATCTAGAAGAAAAATATCTACTTTAAGTTTCTTTTTTCTTGGAGATTTGTACTTGATCTTGCTTGAGGAAAAGTTTTCTTTCTTTAAAAAGAGTTTGTTTGTGTGGCAGGATGGCATTAAAACTAATAAAGCCTGACAAACAAGCAGCGGGGGGGGGGTGTTCCCCCATTTACAATTATGTGAACAAGTTCTGAGTTTACAGACTCAGCAGAATGGCTTTAATTTAAAAGAATTTGTCCTGGAGGAAATGGCAAGATATCACGAGACTGTGAACCAGAAACTTGAAAAATTTAGGCAGGAAATTAAAGAAATGATACAACTAAAGTATGATAATCTGCAATGAAAGATTGTAACAGTGACTAATGCTTTTTCAGAAATTGTTATAAAGATGGATACAAATATCAAGTTATTAGAGTCTAAAATGGAGGAAGTTGATGATAAGATTTATAATTTGGACAATAAAATACAAAGAATTGAAAATGATTTGATAAATATTCAAAACAATAGTTTAGAAGTAAAGTCTAAAAAGGAAGCTGGTCACGAGATTTACAATGCAGAAGATATAAAGCAAGGGATTGAAAAAGAAGTTACAATGATGCAATACAGGCTCACGGAATTTGCGGTTAGAATGAGAGGGTTACAGGAAAATAATAGAGATGATTTAAGAAAAATATCTGCTCAAGTTCTGGCCGGGATTTTAAAGGTTCATCCTGAGGAGGTATCTTGTAAGATTGACAAGGCCTATAGAATAAATTCTTGGATTGCAAAGCAAAGGCAATTTTATTTTTATTTATTTTTATTTTATATTGGATTTCTATACCGCCCTTCTCCCTGAGGACTCAGGGCGGTGTACAGCCAGATTAAAAAACATGCAGAACAAATATTAAAAACAATTAAAAGATATATAAATTTGGCCCAATTAAAACTCATTTACCAATTAAAACGTTTAAAACATTTAAAAACAGTTAAAAATTTCATCTTAAGCCAGCCCGGCTTGTTTAAATAAATGGGTTTTAAGGGCGCGACGGAAGGCACTGAGGTCTTGGATTCTCCTTATCTCTGGGGGGAGCTGATTCCAGAGGGTAGGTGCCCCCACAGAGAAGGCTCTCCCCCTGGGGGTCACCAGCCTACATTGTCTGGCTGATGGCACCCCGAGGAGGCCCTCTCTGTGGGAGCGCACGGGTCGATGGGAGGTCTTTGGTAGCAGCAGGCGGTCTCGAAGATAGCTAGGCCCTAGAGATG